AAAAAATGAATAAACTGGAAAGAAGTAAATCCTGAGTACCAACTATGGGAAAATGAGATACTAAATATACCACGTTTTCTGCGATGGGTTTAACTTTGTTAGAGAAAATTGTTAAGGGCAGCAAAGTTAAGAATTCAGTCTTTATATAGGGTAGTTATGTTTAATCTGTTTCATAGCTACTATTAATCCCAGAGCTAACCATAAAATGTATATGAATACATAAATATATAAATGTGTACCAGTTCATAAGGAGGATCAGTGAGAATGTGTAACCTAAAAATACATTATTAATATCTAGGATGGTTGTGGTTTTAACATCAGGGGTTTCTAATAAGGAATGAAAAAAGTGTCATCAAACATATCTGTTATATCAACAGGGGAGACTGACTTATTCACATCCTTCCATCAACTGTTCAGAAGGTCTACTCAACATATTGGAAGTTTTTTCTAAGTCTTTTAATTTCATTACAAGAATGACAGAGTAGCGTAGCAGAGATAGAATATGCCCAGATCTGGGGCTAACACATAGTGACTGTGTGACTCTGGGTAGATCACGCAACTCCTTTCAATGCTATAAAGCCACTAAAATGGTCAGTTGCAGAGAAAGTGCCAACCTGCATTGGGAAGAGGGAGTGTTCTATGCAAATAAATCCACTGGTCCAGTCCCTATGCCCCGTCCTTAAAACAATCAGATCATCATATGTCATCCCTTGCTCATGTATATGACTCACCTACCTCCTCTTCTGGTCACAAATGTTTTTGATGTTTTCTTACAAACCCAAGTTAAAATAAGCAACATACCACAGCCTAGCTACACCCTTTGTGTTGTCTTTCCATTGTGCTTTGGATAACCTGCAATTTGGATTATTCAACAATTGCGGGGTTCTAGGATTCAGAGCCACCCAACATTGCCAGGAGAATATTGATAGTGAAAGGTTAGGGTTTAAGGTAAAGAGATTAGGATCATTGAAAGTGCTATGTGATTCCCCTAATGCAATCCAGTTCATTCTGTTCTGAAATATATACCGATGCACTAATTCAACAGCCTCTCCATCCAAGTGTCCCTCATAATCTGGGCAATCTGAATTCTTTATTCATTTGGTTTTTCCTTCATGAGTTCTAGGCTAATCATTGTGTGTTATTATGAATCTCACTGAGGTGGCCCTATGGTACACTGTTGCACAAAGCAATCAGTGCAAAATCATCTAGCCTCAGGCACTTACTACTGGAGTGGATATACCACACCAGTATCTTTGCCAAGAAAACCCCAAATGGGGTCACAAAGACTTGGACACGACTAAAAAAACAAAACCTCAGCAAATGTTCACAAACAATTCTCAAATACTTAATGAGATGGTCAAGCAGATATATAGGTTGATAATTAATGTTTTCTTGGTAACCCCCCCTTTTAAAAATAATAATACCATCTGTCATTTTTTTCCAATCCTTTAGAATCTTCTCTACTATAGATATACTAAAAATAGATTCCTGAATATCTTTAAATTTGTGTGATAATCTAAAGATTGTAGGAGAGTTCTGAAGCCAAAAATTAGAACTATTCAATCTAAAAGAATGTTTACACTAGACATTCAACCAAACATACAAAGGATTAACATTTGACACACCTTTAGAAAAGAAAAACAAGGGAAAAATGGAATCCGTGCTCTGACACTTCCCCCCCCGCTACCTACTACTACTACTACTACTACTACTACTACTACCACCACCACCCTTTTATATAGCCCCTACTATGTGCCAGACACTGCACTGTGCTACTAGCTGCTAATGAAGAAAATGAAAAACTATATCATCTTAAAGAAGGATCTGCTTTGCTTCACATCCACTAACAAAACTTAAGGAAAAATAGCACTGATTATGTTTTTTTGGCAATCCCATCAAAACAAAAACCATAATCCTTGTAAGAAATAAGCAGAGTCAACCAAAACAAATCCATCCACCTGCCATGTAAAAAATGGTTATGTCTCATTTTTCATCTTGACTCTCTCATCCCTATGTCAGCAGGTGGGTAACATGCTTCCACATCACTTCTCTGAAGTTGTGGTTGGCCACTGCCTTCACTGGAATGTTTAAGTCTTTCCAAATTGATAAACAGCTAGCCAAGTTTTTCTAAAACCATCCCTTTCATAATTTCTTATGGCACAATAATGTAACATTTTATTTTTTCACCTGTTCCCTAGTTCTCTCCTACAGCAAAAAGTGCTACTATATTTTTGTACATATGAGTTGTTTCCTTCTTTCTTTAATCTCTCGTTTATTTTTTTGGAGTAGTAATCTTCCTAGTAGTAGTATTGCTGGGTCAAAAGGTATAAAAATTTTAGTGAATTTTGTGTATGATTCAAAATTACTTTTGATAATTGACTGACCAATTCACAGCTCCACCAACAGTGAGCCTGTATTCTCACAGCTCCCACCAATAAATGCCATTTTCATTACATTGATTTCTATCTGGTTCACTCTAATTTTCAAGGAGTCTGTTACTTGAGGTAACTTTTGCACATCCTGTTCTCACTTGTTTATTCTCTTATTCTTTCCCCTTAGAAGAGGGGCTCTTAACCTAAGACTCATGGATAGACTCTTCAGAGAGTCCATAAACTTAAATGGCAATAAAAATACATAATTTTTTTTGGCCTCTTTTTGTATTCCCAGCACTTAGTACAGTGCCTGGTACACAGCAGGCACTTAATAAATGTTTATTGACTGACTGGTCTTTGCTAGAACACTTCCATGTGCTGCACTCCTGGGTCAGGGTTTTCCGACTGGACCCCTATTCTCATGCCCACAGGCTATCTGGTTATTCTGGTTATCTCTTTGTAGAGAACTAGGCTGGCAATATGTATCTACTGAAGTTTCTTCTTGGATTTCTTAATCATTTCTCAGTTTAGTGTTCTGTTTCTTATCTTCCATGGAACAGTTATTAGAGAGCTGGGATTTTCTGCTTCCTTTCACTGCACTATCTTGATGATAACTCTCCTGTATACTGCTTTTTTTTTTAAGTGAGGCATTTGGGGTTAAGTGACTTGCCCAGAGTCCCACAGCTAGGAAGTATTATGTGCCTGAGGCAAGATTTGACTTCAGGTCCTCCTGACTCCTGGGGCCAGTGCTCTATTCACTACACCACCTAGCCGCCCCTTCCGATATACTACTTCTAACAAAGCTCTATAGGTAATGCTGTCTTTGCCACGACAGAGATAGGTCTATTTTAAGGCCTTAGACAAAGTTGTCCATAATTTCTAGTGGTTTGGACTGAGAGAACATTAGCTGAAAAGTCTAGTTGTATGAAATGTGTGCCAAGGCCACAAACCCAGTATGCTAGCCTGAAATTCTTCTGTAACCATTAGAAACCCCCACTTAACCCCAACCGTAGTTAGTAGCAAAATTATATTTCATCACTTATTTGCCCCATCCCAAGAGTTTAACGACATTTAAGTAATGGTAATCGTCCCAACCAAGATGGCTCCTTCCCTCCTAAGTGCCAAAACTACCCGAGCTGATATGTCCATCTACTCCTGAAATAGCTGGCCTCCATACCTACCACACATCACCTCTGATTGGGGGCCACTCCATCTCACATTTTGGACTGCTCTATTCACACCTCTTCAGGTAAAGAGTCAACCTTTACCTCTCATCACTCCTAATTCAATGGATGCCAGAAATAAACCCTGAAATGGATCTTCTGCATGATAACCTCTAGCATCAAGAGGAGACTGAGCTGCCTTACTTCCCACTGCAAAATGCTTTATAATAATTCAATTCACCTATTTCACATATCCTCAGAGAGTTAGAAGATCTAGTCCAACCTTCTTCATTTTACACATGATTAAAGTGAGGGCAAGAGATTTTAAGTAACCTGCCCAACGCGATATTTTCCCCTGTTTATCTGAGTGACTGTCATTAATAACTAGCACGGTGATTCATAGCATATACCTTTCAAGTAACCACAGTGGCATTCAAACAGGGAGCTGAATGCTATCAAATCCTTGCAAAGCCCTTGGAAATAAGCTAGCCTGTGTATCTACTTGCAATATTCACACTAACAGACCTTTGAAAAAACTGAGAAAAAGGGCAATCGATCAACGGCTCTTTCGCCTCTCAAGCCGGATGTTTACTTGCCTCACTCTGTATTTATCCTTCTGTGAGCCACTGAACTTTGCTATGACAGTTTCACAATGTCCACACCCTACACCATTGTTGCTTGTGTATGAGAATATATATGCACAATAACCAAAATTAAAGTAACTAAAAACAGGAAGAGATACAAGTCTAAGGAGAGAACATGGGAGCCAGGACACAATGTACACAGCCCAGAACTAGTACCAGTCTCCAGCCAACATCAGCCCACAAGCTGTGGCCTCCATACCTAGGAAGATGATCTTAGGACCTTTATCTATAGGAAAGGCTAGTTCAGTTAAAAGGAAACGGACCTTAAGCTACAGCAATATTAATATACTTCTAGAATAAAAAGTCCTAACCTCCAAGTAGTATATAGATATAGGGGTGGAGAACCTGAAAAGTTCTATATATTCTAGCTTCTATATATATATATTCTAGCTTCTCTCTCTCTATATATAAAATCTAGCCTCTACATATATATTTCTATATATTCTAGCTTCTTAATCTTTAGCATGTTTCAATTTTCTCAGCTTTTAAACTCTCTTAGGGACACAAGCTACTTGAATGTACCTGGATATGTAACCACGACCTGGCCCTTGGAAAACCCACAATTCTCCATTTTCCATTTTCATGTCCTCTTAATTAAAAACTCATTCCCAAAGAGTACTATCTGTCCCTCCCCAACCCCACCCCAAGAATTTCCTAAATATGTTACACGCCAACTTTCTATCAGGCAGCGTATGACAATGGTTTCATATAAACCTAGCTGAAGCGGAAGGAAATGTAAATGTTGGCAGGTACAGAAATTTCATGAAGATAATCTATAGTCAACAACCTCCAGAAAAATTTCAAAATATAGAAAGCTTTACCTGGTTCCAATTTTATTACTTTAATTGCTGCCAGTTCACCAGTGTTAACATTTCGAGCCTAAGAAAGAAGAAAAAAAAGTTTTAAAGTTTTATTTAAAGGTTACATTGGTTTAACATTTGATTCTTTAAGTCATAGTGTGATAGTTTACATTTTAAAATGCAATAGTAAAACTGTGAAATTATTTGCTGCTAATTTAATTTATTCATGGTTTAAATCAGATCCCTTAGAATCATAGCAAGGCCAGTTTGGATATATTTCAACTAAATGACTAAACACTAAAAAACAATCCTATGTCAAAGAGAGAAAGGTCCCATATGTGTAGGAAAGTACAGTGCTTTTGGGAATAACAACAACAACAAAAGAGAATTAAAAACAAAGTAGGAATTTATATTAATGGGGGAATAGCTAAACAAATTATGGCATATGAATGTGACAAAATATTACTTTACTGCGAGAAATAATAAATATGAAGAATTCAGAAAAACCTAGGAAGACAAATTGACACACATACAGTAAGCATAATATATAAGAACAAAGCTAAAATCAGCCTTAAAAAATTGTGATACATGATCTAATATTATTGTACTAGAAGATAAATATGAAAACTATATAGATGACAAGACCGATATGAACAGATACAAACGGAAGTAAGCAGAACCAGGAAGATAACAAGCATAACAAGGCGAAGAGAAAGTGCAACTACAAAAAAAAGAAACTGAATGCTGTGTAATTATGACGACTCCCTTCAACACACAGGTATATGGCTGTGGGTATGGAATATGCATGTGGTCAATATTTTAGCTTGTCTGGTTCAACTGCTTTTTCCCCCTCTTAATCTTTGTTATCAAAGGAAGGTTCAACAGGTAGGGTAGGGTGAAAGAGCTATATCTGAAAATAAGCATGATGTAAAAACAAAAATAATCATTTTTTTAAAGAAAAAGAATCCTAGAATGTAAGTGGCTAGATGCTGCATGAATGTAAAATCAGAACAGGCGCCTTGCACGTTTTTAAATATATGTAATTTGGCAACTACCTAGAAAGGTATCCTCAGAAGACAGTATAAGGACTTATTAAACACCCATTAGGTGCCAGGCACTGTGATAAACCCTGGGAACACCAAAAGGCAAAAAACCAGTCCATGTTTTCAAGAGCTTACAATCTAATGGGAGATACAACATGTAAACAACTATATATAAACAAGATACCGAGAGGATAAATTAGAGATAAGCAGCAGAGAAAAACACTAGTATTGAAGGGAACCAGAAATGGCTTCCTGCAGAAGGTGGGATTTTAGCTGAGACATGAAGGAAACCACAGAAGCCAGAAGGCAGAGATGAGGATGAAAAGAAAGGATTCCAGGCCCTGAGGACAACCAGTGAAAATTCCCTCAGAAGATGGAGTGTCTTGTGCGAGGAAAAGCAAGGAAGGCACAGTTACTAGATCACAGAGTATGAAGAAAAGGGAAAGGTAAGATGGGGCCAGATTATGAAGGAATTTAAAAGCCAAACAGAGGATGTGATATTTCATCTTGGAGGCACTAGGGAGTCAATGGAATTTATTCAGCATGTGAGTGACAGTAGACCACTTTAAGAGCTGAGTGGAGAGTGGACTATGGGGTGGGGAGAGACTAGAGGCCTAAAAGGTCAAATAGGCTACTGGAATAGATGTGAGGAGATGAGACTCTGCCTTTGGGGTGGTGGTGGTGTCAGGAGAAGAAGTGAATATATATGCTGAAAAAGTTATCTACACATTATTTAAAAAAAAAAAAAGGTCACAGAACTCTGGTTGAGAACCTCTGTCCTAGGAAAATATTATGTTTAAAATCCAGGTGGAATAAAGCAGGATTTTATCCTCAACCCTTCTAAAGTACAATGAGATCCTGCCACAATTGTTTTTGGTGATAAGATGATTCATAGTACAAGTGTTAACAGAATATACATGACTTAAATAGTTCACCAACAGAAAGATTATACATACCAGGTTACAGAGCTGAAGCATAACTGACCACAGGAGGGCACAATTTGCTAGTCACAAAAATCATATAAAATTTCACGTCCCACAAGGGGTTTTGTTGTCAATATTGTATTAACTACAATAGTTGATTTGCTAATAATAAAACCAGCTTACTTTAACAGTCATTGGTAAAATATAACTGCAAAAGGTTTAAAAAAAAGAGCTTTACAATAAATCAATATTTAATATATGGTTTGGGTGGTGTTGTTTTTTTAAATACACCTCTGGTTTTATGGGCAAGATATTCTCAATGAGAAACTTCCTCCACCAAAGCAGATCTAAATACGCTCTGCAACTCAGTCCTAGAGAGTTTCAAGAACTTGCCCCAAGCCACACAGCCCATATAAATTATAGGTGAGACTTGAGCCCAGATCTTCCAAACTCCGGGGGGCCTTCTATAAAAGACTCTTTTAGACTCACTTATAAAATATTAAGAGTTAAGAAGGAGCTAAACTGGGGCAGCTAGGTGGAGCAATGGATAGAGTACTGGCCCTGGAGTCAGGAGGACCTGAGATCGGGCCTCAGGCACTTACTAGCTAGCTGTGTGACCCTGGGCGAGTCATTTAACCACCACTGCCTCAAAAAAAAAAAAGACATTAAATACCCTTCAGTTCAACCCCATTATTCTAACAGAGGTTAAATGTCCAAGGTCACACTGCTCTCCCTGAGCAGTATTTTTCTCATTTGTAAATTTAGGGATATTGGATGATGGGTCTTCTAGGATGCCATCTAGCTGTGGATCTATGAATTGTAAGAACCTGATAGGATTTGAACCTAGAGTTCAAAACTCTAAAGTTATGTAATTTCTACCACACCACAATGCACCTTTAGTTGTAAATAAAATTATTCAGAAGACTCTTTAGTTTGAAATTTGTCAGTAAACCTCAATTTCCTTACATAAGGAGTGAGGCTTTTTTAAAAGCAATTTATTTTGATTTATCAACAATCACTTCCATACGTTTTTGAGTTTAAAATTTTTTCCCCTTCCCTCCGTCCCTCCCCAAGATGGCACGCAATCTGATATAGGCTATACATATACATGCCTATGAAACATATTTTCACATTAGTGATGTTGTAAGTAAGAATTAGAACCAATAAGATGAACCACCAGAACAAGGAAACAAAACACAACAGAAGAAAAAAAAAGCAAATAGTATGCTTCAATCTGCATTCAAATGCCATAGTTCTTTCTTCTTTATGGATAGCATTTTCCACCAAGACGCCTTTGGAGATGTCTTAATCAATACTAGTCAATGCACAATGTGGCTGTTACTGTGTACAACATTCTCCTAGTTCTGCTCACTTCACTCAGCATCAGACCATATAAGTCTTTCCAGGTTTTTCTGAAGTCAGCCTGTTCATCATTTCTCATAGCACAACAGTATTCCATTACATTCATATACCACAACTTGTTCAGCCACTTCCCAATTAATGGGCATCCTCTCAATTTCCGATTCTTTGCCACCACAAAAAGAGCTGCTATGAATATTTTTGTACATGTAGGTCCTTTTCCCATTTGTATGATCTCTCTGGGATATAGCCCTAGAAGTGCTATTGCTGGGTCAAAGTGTATGCACATAGGAGTGAGTTTTAAATTTAAATCAATTCTTCAGAGTCAACTGAAAAGCACTCAACTAAAATACTATTTTTTTTTTGCCTTTACAACTCTGAAATATTTTCCAGCATATGACTTAGCTGGCAGTACAGCAGCTAATCACAAAGGAAAATATTCCAAACTATTCTTCAATATCCTTTGTAAGAAAACTCTGACATACATGCAGCTTCGTTTTTGATGTTTAAGCAAACCAGTAGGTCAACTTCAAATTTTGAATCTCTACCCTCATAAAAATTGATTTTTAATCAGGATCTGATAGACAGCCTTCTGTCTAAAAATCACATTCTACAGTTTCTGAATTGACTCAGTAGTCAAGATTTCACAAAGAGAAATAATGCTTAATTAATATTATTTAAAATTCTGAAGATGCACTATGCTGTCATGGAGGCTCACGATTAAATGTAATTGTTCTTAAAAATGCAAACCAGGAATAAAGTAGACAGCTATAAAATACTCTTTTGTATAGAACTAAAAAATTCTAGGGTCCTAGCAATGACTATAACTAGGCGAAAAAAAAAAAAAACAAACAAAAACCTGAGGCTGACTGCCCTTCCCTAAATAACTAGCAAAAGTGAAAATCCATAGGATGATGGCTCCATCTTCCCATTACCTCATCTTCATTAATGTACTTCTGTGATAGGAAGAGAGAACTACAATGACTTTGATGGTAATAAACATTTTTAGTTGTGTCATCAATAGCCAAGAGAATTCTATTTGAGTATGTGTCAGGGAAACCTGGCAGAATGGCACATAACCAGTTTATACCAGTCATGCGCTTACTAGGTTTCCAAAAATTATGTGATGTGATACATATGAGTGAGCCTGATAAGAGATTCTGGAGATCCAAGTATGGCCTTAGTTTAAATGATCTCACAGAGGCAGTCAGTTCTAGCCCTGCTTCAGGCTTCTTAATCTAGTCAGCTCTTTGGGAGCCATATAAAGTGAGGTAGGTATCTTCTGAGGTGATTTCATACTGGAGAAAAAGATTGCCAGAACATCATCTGCTGGCCACAAACAAAAATTTTAAATGGGTGCAAAGTAGGTGCCCAAAAAGCAATTATTCAATACTTAATTTGAAAAATTACTATTCTAGGTACTAATCTAGTAAACAAGAAAAGCCATTCAAGGGGCAGGTAGGTGGGCAGTAGATAGAACTCTGGCCTTGGAGTCAGGAGGACCTGAGTTCAAATCCAGCCTCAGACACTTAACACTTAGTTAGTAGCTGCATGACCCTGGGCAAGTCACTTAACCCTGATGGCCTCACAAAAAAAAAGAAATAAAAGAAAAGCCATTTATTTATTACCTATTTAGTAAACTCCTAATCTCCTCCTTACAAGGTGGTGTCAAAAAGTTTCTCTATGGACCTATGAACTCACCTAGTAGACAGCCCTGTGAAACTCTTGTAAGTATTGTCCCATAAATCATCCAG